TTAATTTATTCCCATCTTTTTTATTATTTCTATTCAATTTTTCTTGTATATATTGTTTTTCATTATTTTTTACATAAGACCATGTAATGAGAGTGGAGGATTTCACACCTAATGTTTAAAAACATAAAAATAAAACTAAAAAAATAATTTAATAGGTATATTATTATTGGTCGATCGGTCGGAATTTGGGGGTGCATGACCACCGACTAACCGACTTTTAGACCAACAGGCCAAAGAACCAACTGACCAATTAATGTCAATTCGGTCGGATCCATTTTTTGGATCCGACCGAAAAGCCTACGATATATGCGTAATGTGTGTCTGATTTCCAATAAAATTATTGATACAACTTTGTAAAAGTACAAGAATCTAAATTGTACATGTGAACAGATGCGATTAAAGATATCATATTCCATGAGTTTATATAAAATTGCACCGCAAGAAAACATGTATATTACAACCAATAATTTGCAACTTTTTTACAAACTATTGGAAGCTTGTTTTATAGAATTGTTGTGGTTTTATGGAAACATTTTGATAAACATCTATAATTGTATCTTTCTCTTTCCTTTTTAGAAATATGATTACATCTATTACTATGGTTAACTTGCAACATTTTTGTTAGATGAGTTGTAAAATTGTTGCAAGAGTACAATTGTAGCCGTTATACCAACATGAACATAATTCAACGATAATTGATACATGTAATATTTTTCTCAAGGTTGGAGATTCAACCCTCATATTCCCACATTATTGTACTAAAAAAGAAAAAAGAATTGTAGTCGTTATACTATAGTATTGTTGTAGCAGCAGAGTGTATTGCAGTTTCAAAGACTAGAGAATATTTATTTTTTCTTTATACATTTTGTTAAAAGAAAGATTAACATATTATCATGTTGATTCAGTTTTAATTTTGAGTGAATTATGAAATTCTACCCATGTATATATTTAACTAGGTGAGAATAGTGTAAATAGTTTTTTCAATATTCCTACTATCTTAGAACACGACTGAATATGAACTGGGAACATAATTTCACAAAGACAGAGTTTACTTATTCCCGGTACAACAGTATACATTTAAGAAATTATCTTAAATGTTGGTTCGAGAATTGAACAATATAATAGGATTTCACTCTTTTCTTATTGGTTAAAGAGGAACTTGGTTTGTAATTGGATTGTAAACAGTAGTTCATTAAAGGGGATCACGGTACTTAATTAGAAAGAAGATGTAATTCCTGCATGTTACGAGAGGAGGAAGTAAAAACTAGTTCCTAAGAATGGTTTCATTTGAGGAGCAACAAATATCCTTTGTCTAGTGCTCTAATTTCTAGGTTCAACATGTGAAAATGCATATTTTGATGCTAATCACTAACGAAAAGAATTCATTTAAGTGGCGTTTGTTTCGTGGAGAATCTGCCATGAGATGGACATCTAGATTCTCGTGTTTGTTTGATAGGAATGTTGGATACCTGGACATTCTTAGATGTCTGAGCATCCTAGGATGTCTATACGGGAGGCATGTGAGTAATCTTAGATGTCCTCATGTAACGGGTTTTTAAGATTCCCGTGTTAAGAGCATCTTCTTTTGACAACTTTGTTCCTCATCATTTTTGTTCAATAATATTTTTTCATCACTGAGCGAGAACGGTAAGGGGCGCACAAACCAATAATATTTATTTCTCTTTTATTTTAAAATAAATGTATGCACTAATTCATTGATAAATGTCTAAATACAATTTTATTTATATGCGACATTTAGATATAAAATAAACATTAGTCAATGGTATAATATCTTAATTTATTTTTAATTCAAATCTAGAGTGCAATCTTTCGTTTATTTTACTCTTTCAATAGTCACCAAATATAAACTAAAATTGACATAAAATATAATATTAAATTAATAGAAGTAAAATTTTTATATGAATTCAAATAATATTAAATTTAATAATAACATTACATAAATTTACAATATTCCCACGAATAAATCTTGTAAAATAAACGTGGTTACGGACATCTAAAATTCTAGGCATATGAAGATGTCGGACATCTACATTCTCAAAAACCAAACGGCCCCTAAGAATAATATTTAAGCACTTACTAGTTGTAAAGTATTTCTTGACTTACTACCGTTAAAAATTGATAACTATTTTTTTTTTGAAAAAATAAAAATGTCTGTCTTCTCCCTTTTTTTTTATGCATTCATCTATTTTAGTTGTCAATTTTTTAATGGTGGTCGGTAGGAAATACCTTGCGACACGTTCATAAGCACTAAAATATTATTCTTAATTTAAAGCCAATAGGAGCTATTATTGAGAAAGCACAAACAATGTATTGCCAATATGAATTCTTTTACTTTATTACATGTGAGGATGAGAGATGTCAATTTGTAGATTGGGTGATAGACAAAGATGGTTAAGAGATGGAAGGCAGAGTGTAAGGGTGGGCATGATGGCTTATATGTTAGTAAACTTTGTGATTTGTGAACATTTTATTGAATATGAATAGAAATAATTATTTGTTTATTTTTTTGGTAAAATATTTTATTTGAAAAATATAAAGTTGTTAGAAGTCATTAGGAATAATATATAGTCGACAAACAAGAAAATTATATTCCAGAAGTAACATAAGAAATATAGTTTAATTTATAATAGGTAAATTAAGGTTGCTGAGTGTCTCAGACTAGTAAACACGAGCACTATTGAACTTCACGAGCTGAGTTAATTTGAAGCAAGATATGAAGAGAAAGAAACCTGAAAATACTTGTGAGGACAAAACTAAATAATGTTATAGTGGTTATGTAACACATTTCAATGCTTAAGTTAGAGCTAAGCATAACAAAGTTGAGATGGGTTCTTAGTGTACCTCAATGTTGAATATTGAGACAATCCTATTTATACAGAGGGGATAAATTGTGACTTCGTCGCATTCACAAACTAGCTTGTCACTTGTGCCGTTGCTAGCCACCTAGCCTGTCAGTCGACAATAACTTCTGTCAGAATACATRCCTCTCACTCACTTGATAAGTTATCCCTTCTAGACCGGGTTTTCTAGACTGCAATATATCGAGACGAGTTGTATCACACTAAGATAAGTTTGCTCATCTAATATTTAAGTATGACCTACCTATCTCCTGTGGATATCCCTGCGAGGTAGGTTTTACAGGTTACAACACACCAGAATAAGTTGTYTTAAGAGCCATTCGATAATGTTCCTATTTATTTTCTCATTCTTAATAAAGAAAAATAGAATTGCATGACCCCAACACTCATAGATTCAATAATGATAAGCAAGATTTTTATTTATGTTGGAATAAATTGGAAATGAGAACAGGGAAATAAGAAACTTGATTTTGTTGTTTTCAAAATTTACATACAATTTTGAGAATGTTTATAAAAAAAAGAGAAGCAATAAACATAAAAAGTTGTCAAATGCTTAAGTTTTTTAATAACTTGGAAATGAGAACATTACCAAACGGGCACTAAGGCTCGTTTGGTAACGTTCTCGTTTCTTATTTCCAATTTTCTTAAGAAATCTAAGCATTTTACAACAAACTTTGTTTATTGTTTTTTTTTTTTTGGGAGTATTTTTAGAAATTTTAGAAACAACCAAAACAAGTTTATTCTTTCTCGTTCCAATTTCCAATTTGTTCCAAAACATAAATAAAAAAAGTTGTTTTATCGTACTTGAATTCTTGGAGGTTGGAACCATACATTACATTTTTCTTCATTAAAAATAAATAAACAGAACAAGAAATAGGGAAGTTATGAAACGGATCCTTAGTAAACAAATAGGTAAATGTGCTCATCTCATTCTTTTTCGAGATATGTGGGAGGTAGGTCTCGTTAATTGGTCTGACTCACCTACTTCAAGGAGGAGAGAATTTCTAATACCACGGGAGTACCATACTCCATTMTCTTTACAAAATAAATAGAAGAAATGGATTCCACATCTTTTTTTTATACATTGTTGATATGACACGTAGTAAATGAAAGGAAATATGATACTCTCRTAGTATTAGAAATTTTCTCCCTCAACCAGGTATGTATTGTTTGTTGGTTTTCTATATGACCTTAGCATAGGCGCCACTGCAAAGTGGGAGGATTTTAGCCAATAACAATATGCAATGAATTTGCATAATATTTGATTACTTTCTTCTATGTAAATTTTTGTTAAAAGAGAACCTATTACAGAAAAATCATACCCAATTCTATATTAATCWTAAAGGAAATTATTAACGCTTATTTATGAAATCGTGTCTTTCAAATTACGTAATGTGGGAATGACTCAAATAATATAATCTATTTAATAATTCCATAAGGACATGATTAAATGAGAAGTTAACATGTCACAGAAAATAGGGTTCACACTTTCGCACAATAAGAAAGAAAATAGATGAAAAGTTCTCTAAACGCTAATTCAAGATTTTAATAACAAGATCTCACCCACTCACTAGCTTGAAAAAAAATTTATAAAAGCAAATTATAAAACAAACTATTCTTTAGAAGTAAAAATAACTTTCAATCTAGCTAATTACAAACAACTAGTAAATGGTTTACTTTCATGTACGAAATTATCATGAACTTAAACAAGTTCGGAATCAATTTAAAAAAAAANCGTGATTTAACCATCCATGTTTGATCAAATTTTTGACCAATGACCTTTTTTTTCTTCTTTTTCTTTTTTTTTTCTTTTAAGTACAACAAATAAGAGTGGAGATTCAAACTTATAATCTTTTGATCAAAGATATATATCAATTTGATCAGAAACATATATCAATTGCTACTTAGTTAATCTCTTTTTGACTGTGTTGTTCATGTTGTGTGATAAATATAGATAATTCATACATTAAAGAAATAAATATTTGAGTAAAATTCAACTATGGGTAAAAGAGTGACCATAAGCTAAGAACCACCAAATAAATTGTGGGCATGGTGCAGAAAATTTACATAAATTCAAATAAAATGTAACAAATTTAGAGAATTGTTTTGGACAACAGAGGCTTATCAAACACTAAATGAATTAAATTAGCAAATTACTTAAACTACCAAAAAAAAAAAAAGAACCATTCTGAAAGTAGAATGTTCTCTCACTGGTCAAAAAAAAAAAAAAAGGGAAAAAGGAGACCTCAAAATAGTTTGAGTATTGTACAATGAATGATTGGGAGGTGGAAGTTAGTACAAGAAAAATTTGCCTATTTTACAGCACTGATTTTCTACTTTACCAAATCAATCATCAACACAAGAAACATAAACTCCTGCTGCCTCTTCCACCATCTCTGCTATCTAGACCTCTCAAGAATGATCTAATTGCAAGGTGTTCAGAAGCATATGTCATAAAAGATACCAAAATTAGCCCTCCTACAACCATCAACCCTAACCTGTCAAAGCAGAATAAAGAAAGGTACATGAGACAACATTCGAGTGTTGACGGGACAATGGCACGAGAAATATTATTGTTTTATATTTTCGTAAAGTAAAGATCTAGAAACAGCATCGATATCTATTAGAAGAGATCAACACTATTTTAGAAGTAAATATAGAAGTTGTGGACAAGAAAGGATAGTACAATCAACGTATCGACGTGCCATGTGACACCAGGTATACATTAGACACAAAACTAAAAGTTTAGGATCCTATTAGAATAAGTGCACAAGTGCAGGACAAAAGTTTAGGGACCTATTGAAAACTCTTTGAGGTGGACAATTGTTCATGTATCTCATGTTTCTTAACAGTCTTACCCAAGTTTCTCCTGCATTATGGGAAAAACGAAAATATCTATGATACGAAAGGCAAACTTTATGAGTTAAATTTTCAAAGATCAGCTGATTCTGAAAATTGTTACCGTTGGTGAAAATAGAGAACACAAGTAAATTACCTCAAAAACAGAGCAGTAATACCCAAAATACAAGGCAAAGTTGGAGCAACAACAGCTAAGAACGCCATTCCTAGACCATAAAACCACGTCGTAACATCACAGCTGGATGCCTGCCACTGATGATCTAATAAAGAAGAGAAACTGTCAAAACTTAGTAACAACGTCTCGACAACATCCGGTCAGTTGCAAACTATCAACTATGGAAAGCAAACCTTTTGCAGAATAATCAAAAGACTCAGAATCAGTGAAGGATCCAGCTTGTGTTGCCATTGATTTTCCCCACTTGTAAATAAAATGGATATATCCCCCAAATAATAGAATGAAAATTGTGAATATCCACTCATACATCAACAGCAAGCCAGTCCATGGCATTACTTGCCTYGGCACGATTGCAAATGAAAGTGCAAGGGCGATTACGGCAGCGATAAAACAGATGAAGATGGAAATTCCACCCAAATAAACAGGTACCTTAGACTGCACACCATCACAGGAACTCATTAACAAAAGAAGACAAACTTCAACAAAAATGTAAAATGCTATAAATACTATTACTATATTAGAGGGCAAAGAGAGGAAACTCACCAAGTGGTTCAAATTAACAGTATTTAATGTAGAAAGACTGGTATAGTTAATTGTTCCAACAGACTTTATTTTGTAATAAAGATGCCTGGCTTGATCGCAAAACAAGCTTCTACATGATGTATTAGAGTACCACCGTATCTGTGTAAAAATAAGATCATTTATATCCAAAATATGACTAATCCTAGTAATAATAGTTTGAGGATAATTTACCCTATTGTTTACCTGGAGACAAGATCTATAATAACAGAAGAATAATGCAACAAGAGGGAGGAGGACAAGAATTTTGACAATAAGATCATCATTAGGACTTCTACCCCCACCAGTTCCTGGGAGGGAGTCTTCTAGCTTTTCCCGGACATTCTACAACATCAGGGAAAAAGAAAGGAAGAAAGAAAAAAAATAAGGTTACCAGTAGCACAAAATATTTCACTCCTAGATAAGACGAAAATGCATAATAAAATACAATTATATGAATAGTAAAACTTGGGTGACCAAAATCACCCATTATTAATACGGGAAATAGAATTTTGAAGTGTAAGCTCGCAAATGAGCGATGTGTGCTACACGTACACACAAGCAAGAAACTAATAGAAGAAACTAGCAATAAAATTTGAGCGGAATACCTGCCAGACATCAACAGGTTTTAAGAGCCAAGATGTCCACCAGTCCCAAGGTTTGAGGGGGCCTAGCGTATAATGGATAACACGAAGCTCGCTCTCGTCTACCATCCACTGCAAAAATGTGCATAATGCTCAAATAATATTGCAGGAACTGACAGAGAAATTGAAGGAAAAATAGAATAATGACCGTTACTTCAATCTTGAGTTTTTCTTCCAACCTTAAATATAAATTTTAAGAGTTCACTTTTTTTTTTACAGATTGGATCAATCCACTATTCTTAAATACACGTCATGTAAAAATTTTATGAGGGAATTAACTCAAGAGTTTAGGCTTGAAGGTGTTTTCCAACCAAAAAAATGAAAGAAAGAAAAAAAAGCTTCATTAACAATTTATTCAGTAGGGCAACACTCTCTTCATCAATAATTAGCTGAAAGCAAGAATAAAAGGAATAAATTATTTCAAGTTCCAACAGAAAGTATTAGCAGACTCGTAATACTAAAAAAAAAATTAGGTAATGTATTACGAAAAAACCTGTTAGCTACAACTCCAAACTAGTATAAAATAAAATCACAACAATTTCCTTACGATTTTTTCTTTCTTTTAGAAATAAAAATATGATATTTGGAACAGAAAAAWTTTAAAGTTTTATTCTATCTCCATCAATAACCATGGGCATCCAGGCCATACACAAAGGAAGGAGAGACCACTCTCTCGGTGAATTTGTTTAGTTTTTATTTTTTGAGGACTAAAATGAAAATGAAGAAACAGGGTAAATAGAAAATTCTACAATCACCAAAGCTCAGACTTACCTGGGAGCCATAATATAAAACTCCCAATAAACTATGTAAATCCCCCTCCTCATGGTTACTTGTTGAATGGATTACTCCTTGAATTAGTTTCCCGCGTAGCCAAGATTAGCCTATTGAAGAGGGAGCTCCATTTGAATTTTCCATCTGATTTCCTTCCTTTTTCTGTGATAAACCGCTGGACGTTTAACCTCTTTAATGCATTGAATGTTGGGAATAACTCATTGAATTCTAAGTTGGGAAGTGAAACATCAACCCATTTGATAGCTGGAGAAGTACTATCCAGCCTGTCTTCAGTTAATTTGTCTCCTGAAATTACTATTATCGAGCTTCGAAGGACATATTTTTGATTTCTGAAGAGGCATGCATTACCAATAATACTTTTCTTCATTAATTTTGACAGCTTCAACTTTTTATGAAACTTCAAAAAAGAACCATTACTTCCTTCCACATTTTGGAGTCTGTCATACCGCCATGCAACCATCCCGGAAAACCTACCAGCTCTATCGCTGCCGGACAAAGGTCCAGTTGGGTCATTAATCACACTCTAGCTGCGGAGCAGTGGTTCATCCACTAGACTTCAATTCTTGTCCTTTTAGAACTCAAGGATATAGTTGTACAGCCTATAGAACAGATCCTGTTCAAGTAAGGTCGTTACTTACACATCATCGCGCTCTTTTTCAAACTTTTAATCTTCAGCAAAACTAATATTTTTTTCCTTTAATTCTACTAATTCAAATGCCCTTGTCTTCCCCAATTGGGAAATATCAACAGGATTCTTTATTCCCAAAGAATTGCCTAGGAACCTTAGAACGTTGAAGCAATTCCGCCCATGGTAGTTAGCAAAGGATTAACAACCACCAAAGCCAAAAAATTGTGAATTTTGATTTCAATCACCTGGAATGAAACTATAAGAAATTTTCTTAACTTCTACATAAGCTTCAAAACAAGTCTTTGAAGCACGTTGAACTAAGACACCCTAGCTTCAAAAATCTCCTTCTTCCAAAGAGCCAAAGGTATTTCCTGTTAACCTCGTTGACCAAAGTAAGGAACAAAATCTATTTTCCATGCATTTTTTCTTTTAACCCTTCAAATTTTAGAAGAAAGGCCGTCACTTTAACCCAACCATTCAATCATATTCTTGTTGATCCTTGCATTGGAACAAAGCTTCATCCATGTGGAAGAGATTAAGCATGTCTTTATTTGAGAATTCACTCCTTAAAACTTCTGCGACCCCAAACCAATCATCATGGAAAGTATGCCTAGTAACCACCATGGTGTGATCCCAATCTATTTCAACAAAACCCACTTCTTAGGCCATTGTTAGTAATAAAACCCTGGCCTTATTAACCATTTGAGAAAAGAATAATCCTCAACTCCTTCCTAAAGGGAACAATGTTCTGAGAACCCTAGCAACTTCTTTCCTTCCAACACGAACTCTCAATTTCCTTTGAAAGTCACGGATCATATCCCAAAAGACTATCTGCCCTCGCTTATATTCACGAACAAGCACCACGTTGCTTTTTCTCAAATCCCCATATGAAAAGGTAGAAATCTCAACTAACCAACCATAATGATTTACAATTTCTTCCATACATATATCACCCTTTTCAAGCCTATTATCCTTTAAAATGTYGAATTCCAGATGAAACTGAAGAACCTCAACAAGAGACATTTCAAGCCATTGTAACCAATCCCATTACAAACTAATATATAAAGAAAAGAACCACCTCTTTTCTCCCAATTTGAAACCAAAACCCAAGAACTGCCTTCAYCACGAAATTGTAAACAACATGAGGAACCTGTTAAATAAGGGTGACCAAAATTCTTATAGCCTGACCGCCAAACTACTAACCTTGTTGTGGGTGTGGGCTGATAAAATTTATACCAAATGAACTACAAAAGTGACAGTCCATAAAACACCAAAAAGCTTTTTCTTTTTTGGGAGCTCTATTGTTTTGCTCAAGTGATACAAGCCCAAAGAAAGCTCTCATGTGTTGAATCCAAAGCAAAGCATCCTTCTTACTCTTTTTAACGGGTGGTCTTCAAAAGCTAGGGGGTGCTTCCCTGATCCACAAATCTTTCCAAAACTGGTAATAGATTAATTTCAATCAAAATTTAATTCCTTTTGAGAATAGGTCTTCAATCTACAAAACGGATTTCTCAGGAAGGATATCTTCCTCGACCAAGTCTTTATTTAGAAGACAACGGATCTTGAGGGAGATAATTACAAGGTTACTAAGATAACTATCTCCTAGCATCAATAATTTGAGTGTTCTAGAGCTCTCAAAAACTCAAAAGCAACAACTTACCTCTCATCTCTAATTCGTTCTGGAAGTCCCTTCGGAATTTTGGCATAGGATTATCTCTAGTAAGATGGTTTGATGATTAGTTCCATATTTCCAAATGTACAGAGGTGATCATTGAGGCTTTTCCTCCAAAGTTGGTGATGGGTCCAATACTAGATTACAGTAGAATCCTTGACTCGATAATTGTATCCACAATGAAGCCAAGTCTTGACTCTTATCTTTGATTGAGACTAAAGGTAGCCTTCCTCTACTGGAAAAAATGAAAAAAAGGTTGGAAAAGAGACTACTGAACTACAGAAAGTTGTTAAGTAATGGGGCTTGTTAGTCAGCTAGGCCTTAGGCGTTAGGTTAGTTAGTTGTATATGAGTTAGTCAGAGCTTGTTATAAAGATAGGTACAGGGTAACAAGGAGTCGCCAAGGGTGTTCCACTGAGCTTGACCCAAGGGGAGGCTTCTGGGTTCCTTGAACTACCTGGAGAACTATTTGTCTATATCTATTCTTTGTTATTCAATATAATCTAGTGTATCGAAAACCTGATTCCTAAGAAAAGCTTGTTGGAGTTTACTAAACCTGATTCCAAATTCTCATAACCTCAATTTATGCATCACATTATTTAGCTGAAAGGAATATGAGAATTTGATAAAGGATTTATAGAGCTCAACACAGTTTACTACAGCTGTGTATTTATAGTTTCTAGTAATGTAGATAAGGACCTTCCTCACTATTCTCATCTCTTGATAAATACCAAAAGGAGGGGATAGTGATCATGTAATCTCCTTTGGCTTTCAAATTTTTTCATCACTAAATAATATGAGGTTGTATTACTTACCGCCCATATATTTTAAAGTCAAGTAAGTGACTTCGATAAGTATTTCCCAAATAAATTAACCACGTGGATCTAAAAAAAATTCTTAAATAACATTGCAAAAGCATCTCAATCAAATACACTGGAAGGAAATAGTGAAGCAACATTTCAGAGATGAGAATTCATACATATATGCTCAATCAAGTAAAAGATCCACTTAAACTGTCAGTAGAAGTACCTTGTTAGCAAGCATGTAGAGACCAACATCTGCATTATAAAGAGTAGAGAGTCGCTCCATTTTAGGAGCTGGTCTGGAACGTCGCACTTCAGGTGGTAAGTTTGGCTCAAAAACGTGTGCATTAGGAAAATTTGAATAATATGAGTTCAAAAAGCCTTGATCCCCTGTTAAATTAAAATGGAGGTATACATCAAAATTCGAGAATTCTACCTATCCTAATATCTAACCATAAATTTAAAAGTTCCATTGAGAATCTTCTAGAATGTGCAACAGAATGTCAAATTTGATAAGTACACATAATAGGAAGCCTAAAGTACAATTAAGATTAAAGAAGAGGATCAACTACCTCCAGTGTAAGAGGGCAAAGTATTAACTTTGCTCATCATGTCATTGAAAATAGTTTCAGACGGTTCCACAACCATAACGCCAGAATTTAGCCTCTCCGAATGCTTCAAGTTAGCACAAAATTTACTACATTCAAAAAGATCTTCTATGTTTTTCAACACAATTGTATCTGCGTCAAGATATACCACTGCACAATAGTGTAATAGCAATTAAACAAAGAGATGCTAAACACTGCTTTAGAAAGGTAGTATACACACACAAAGTATAAGCTCGCAAAGTTTACCTTTCCTATAGTTAGTCATGTTAAATATTTTCAGTTTTGTATAGACACCCCAAAATCTCGATGGATGAATTTGATTAGGATTTGCCAATAAACTAATCTTCTCCACTATCCACCCATCAGCCTGCACAATTTTGTTTTTTCAGCAGCAGAACATTTTAGAACAGAAAAATAATTGTGTAATATAGAATATAAAAACCCACATACATACATAATTACATGATTCATGAACTCCAAAAAAAAAATCACAACAAATGGGATCATGGATTCATTTTGCACATCAGAAAAACTAAGGACACATTCTAATTTGCCACAGTTTCTGTTGTCCCTTTTTCTTAAAATCCATGAGTGTTTAAGCTAACTTCCACGCAATTCRACTCATTTGGACAACCGTCGGATCTCTACCACATTTGGAAGTTARAAAACTAGTAACACTTTTATATCCTTGGTGGGTAGATGGCCGCCGTGGGGTTTCCATTATCAAACCAGTTGTAATTGCATATACTCCAATCATCAATTTAGCTGAGATTCTCTGCCAGTGGGGAAAAAGGCGCAAAATAACTCCTTTTTCTCCCTTCTAAACACTATTAGTAACGCCAATTAAATAAATATCCGCATATTTACAGACTAAATCAACATTATAGGATGGAATTCGAAGCAGCCAACAAATTGAACTTCAAGTCTGATAATTTCTATGTACTTTAGTTTCACCCTAAACAAGAAGAAAATGCAGAAAACAGACAGAAAGTACACAACAATAAGTTGTTCTAATAGCTCAATTTTGCAGGAAACCTAGAGCGAACAAAGACCTGACCTCTAATAGCTGCTTAGCATACTCAGAAACGCCATCTGAAATCAAGGCCACCATGTCCTTCTTGGACCCAGTGTGGCGAATCGATTTCCCAAGAACTCGAACCCCCAAAAGAAATTCGTCGCCATACAAAAGCGTAACATAAGCATCGTCGGAGGACTGTGATCCAGATGAAGAAGCTGAGACTTGAGGTCGAATCGAAAGCAGAGCGATCAACACGAAAATCAAAGCAAACAATTTCCTCATAATTTAAAAATTAATCCCCAAATTTCGTCGGAAAACTGGGAATTTTTGGAGAAAGAGAAAAGGGAAATCCCGTCTAAGATTTGCTTTGAGTATGATCGAAACGATTCGGCAATTGTCTGCATGTCGTCGTTTTGACACTTTTTGCAGACATCGAATTTGAAAATTATGGAGAGCAAATCTCCTGTGGTTGATTCCACCGAAGTTTTGCCGTATCCACATGGGAAATTTTTTTTTTCTTTTTCCTTCTTTCTTTCTTTTAGACAAGAAATAACAAACATGTTTTTATTTCCAAATTTTGAGAAGGTTTCTAAACAATAAAAAACAAAAAACATAAATAGATCTCGACTGCTTAGGTTTCTTAATAAAATTGGAAACGAGAAACAAGAAACGGGAATGTTACTAAACGGGTCTTTATTTTTTATTGTAACCAAAATTTTTATACAATTTTAATAATAGTTTGAAAAAATGAGAAACAAGAAACATATAAATAGTTGCCAAATATTTAGATTTYTTAATAAAATTGGAGACGTGAAACAATAACGTTAGGACTCCTGAAGTCCAAGTCTTAGGATCGCTAGAAAATTAATGGATAAAATGGTACAATGTGAAGGTTCCCTAACGATAGTTGAATGTAAATTTAAAAATCTTCATGCTCCTAACAGGAGCTATAGATTTGAGATCTTTGTAGTTTATCTCTCATAAATTCAATAGTGTAAAACTAAAGGTCGGAGAACTTTTTCCTCACTTTCTATTATACCAATATTAGAATTTTTAGCAAACATAAGCATATACAATAGTGAAGGCATGCTTCTTACTTTGGGCGGGAATTACTCCCTACTYAATTTGTGTAAATTTAAAAAGTACATAAAATATTTAAGATTTTATAATTTACCTATAATTTATCCTGCTAAATCTTTAAAATAAAACAATAAAAAGTTGTAAGGTAAAAATTTGACCATTTTCGTATAAGAAAATTAAATAAAAAGTTGATCCTTTCCTTGAGAACTCATTGGTTCACATATCAAGTCGAGTGTTATTTTTGTGGACATGAGCACTCTGTTTTTTTTTATTTGCTTTTTTTTTTTTGAAAATTAAGTTGGTTAACGTTACTTTTCACACATATTTCTTTGTTTCTCTATCTATTTTTTTTATAAACCTTTTGAAAATCTAAACCAAAATTTGAAAACAAAAAAAGTAGTTTTAAAAAAATTGTTTTTAGTTTTCAAAATTAGCTAAGAATTCAAATGTATTTTTAGGAAAGGTGAAAATATACCAAAGAAATTGTATGACGTGATATTGATATTTCGTTAGTTCAATTCAATATGGCATGATTGTTGTTCGAATTTGCAAGCATACGAATCGTCACAAGTAATATAATAGCGAGTAGAGGTCTCCACAGGGAACAAATGTTTAGTAATTACCAACTTCTTGAAAGTTTAATAGAAATGTCATAAGTAAGAAATAAATTCTAAGACTAATTCAATAAAAGAAGAAACCAACACAACTATCAAGAAACAAAAGTAAATTCAAGGAGATTAGACTCTAGAGTATGACTTCACAAATATCACCCTTTAACTATCCCTACAATTTTAATGAACTTTTCTAAAGCAAGATTGTTGCCGGATTCTATCCTATTGATTGGATATTCTTTCTCAAGCAATAACGGTTTTCTTAAAAAATCATGGAGTATTTATATCTCAGTGACTACTCCGATAATTCAAATAATTAAGTATGTGGAACCAAAAAAAAGCCACAAAAATTAAAAAAAAAATCTCTATCGCTTGCTTTAATTAGGGAGAACTATTCAAGTATAGTCAATAATCTTGTTTCTCAACCTCGATTTATGACAAATAATTAATGTAAGAATTAGCTACATCCAAACAATACGTTCAAAGCAAAAAAGTTGTCACAACCAGCCATAGAAATTTAGAAAAGAAATTAACTGAAAATGGAAGAGTAAAGTTAGATAAACGACTACATCAATACKGTAGAAACAACTATTTAATTCATACTTGAATCCAAAAAGAAAATCTGAATCAATAACATTAAGGGGAAGCAAAAAAGAAAAAAAAATGAAGGATATGGGTGTCGCATATGTTATCTTGGGAATCAAGATCCATGGAATGTCTGGTAAATTAGTATTTTCCCGTCACATTGTTATTGGAAAGATTCAAGAAATTTGAAATAAAACTTGTAAAGACATCTTCGGATGTCTCAAATGGAGCACTTTGGTATAATAGGAAGTTTTTAATTTATGTTATGAATTGTACCACACTTGATATAGCATATATARTAAGTATATTGAGTCGATATATAAATAATCCAAATTCAAATCAAGTGCTTTTAAGAGTTTTGGAAAATTTAGAATATACTCACAATTATGGTCCGCTATACTTGAAAGATATAGTGATGCAAGTTGGAAAACCACTATGAAAAATTCAAAGTCAACAAGTGGATATATCTTTTTACTATATCCTGAAAATCTTCAATTTTTTAAAGGTATTATATTTATGTTAGGGATATCTTTTAGACTTTATATATAATATTTAAAATTTTATCTATAAATTTAAATGTTTTAATGAATTGATGGATGATTTCTATCATTTTTCATAAAAGTATCAACTAGATATTTTATAAATATTTGCATAAAATTGAGATGYCAACATTTTTTTATCAATATTATATTTAAATTTTAAAAAAATATAATTTAAAAGTCACAATTGCTTAATAAAGTCACTTTATCTTAAATACATATTTCATGTAATTTCAAATCCATAATTGTTTAATAAAGTCAATTTATCTTAGGTTTAATTACATATTAAATGTAATTTTCAAATCATAAAAAGTCACTTATCATCTCCACGTTTCGTAAAGATTTTAGACTTTAACTTAATTTTTGTATTTGCATTATTAAAATTGAATTCTTAAATAAATTTCAAAATGAAAATAATTTTTAGAAAGCTATTTTTTTATTTTAAAAAAATTGCCTAGGCTTTTTTTCTTCTTCTCTAGATTACGAAGGATTCTTAAATTTCTTAAAAAAAAAAAGACTACAAAATAAAGTGGTTGGGAATAAATAGTTAGCTTTGATAACTATTTTATTTTTAATTTTTAAAATTAAATTTTATTATTGACTTGCTCAAAATCTAAACTAAACTAAATTTTAACTATCATAGATTGGTTCATCGATCCAAATGATCAAGGTAAATAAAAAAGATCTATAGAGAATGAGTTGACAATCAAATATAGTAGGACTAGATAGATGTTTCATGAGATTAGTCGAGGTTCGCTTAAACTGACATGGACACTCACAGATATAAAAAAACATCCTAGTTAAATTTTGAAAATAAAAAGTATTTTTCATAAGACTTATTTTTATTTTTGAGATTTGTTTAAAAAAGTGAAAGAACACCAAATAAATGGTGAGTAAACTAGCATAATTTTCAAAAATAGAAAACTAAAAATGGAATGATTATTGAAGTCTTAGTTTTTCTTTTTAAAATTTTGATAATAATTTTTATTGGAAAACTGATTTTGGGTGAAATCGAAAATGGAATGTAGCCATAATGTAGTTAAATGAAGGGAATGTGGAAAGTAAGTATAGAAAAATCTAAAACTCCAAAGACTTTAATATGAAAGCCTTGACTTTCCATTTCAACGAATTAATTTTAGAATCTTGATTAAAGATTTTGCCTTATAATTAAAACAAAAAATTAATTTTCAAAGTTTAAAATTTAAAAACGTTTTTGTAACTGTATTCCAATTTCTTTTTTTTTTTTTAATCCTCAACTTTTAGGATGATAGATACGGGATACTCTATTCACTAAGCTATATATGCTTCAGATTAACCCTATATTCTAACTCCGTTGTTTATTTGACGAAAATTACTTATTTAAAAGGTGCGTTTTAAGTTTCTTAATTCATATTCAGTATGTTAAAATGATTTGTTTCAATTCTAGCCTAATTAATTTTCTATTTTCTATTTTTTTTGTCATTTTAAACAATATCAATCAATTAGTTTATATATAAATGGTGAAATAAGGAGATTTTTTCAATAACGTGTTAACCTCTTCATTTTATCCTCTATAATTGGATTTTTTTGTGTTAGTTTTGAACAAATTTTTATTTGAAAGTATGATGATATGAAATGAATATGATTAGATCGTTATTRTTTCATATATAACATTTGCTAATTTTTTGTATAATGTTGGTTGCCTATCTATTCATTAATAAGGTGATAAGTTAGAACTTCTAAATGCAAATTATAGATGAAAAAAAAGAATTTGAATGTAATGTCCAAATAATAATTAGTAAAAAAATTTACAATATGCATTGCTATATATATATGTATATATATATCATCTAATTACAATTTTTAAACTAATTGAAATAATTACAAAAGAATTTTTGAATCATTATCTATTATGAGTACATTAAAAAAACAATTAATGTAAAATAAAGATGGGTATATATATATATTTTAAATTATATATATTTTGGTTTTATTTTAAAATTATTGTAATTTGTTGACTGCCTTAATCTCTTATTTGCTAAGCCCAGTCAGCTTTAAAATGAGTCATGTTTTTTATCCCGCTCATTTTTGATATATCCCTGTCAAGGGTGATGTCAGTACTATTCCCACTATCGGTCCAGCTCAATGGTCTGGATTAGTTGGTTAGAAAAAGAAGACTCTAGAATTTTGTAGACTTCTTCTTCTTCACGCATTCTTCCTAAAATATAGCAGGAAGTTACAGCTTGAGGGATAGAGCAAGGTTGAGTGAGAAATCTTGCTGGGGAGTGTGCTATTATGTATGGGTAAGGCATACTGAGGCTGAGAGAAGAATATTGAAGAGCTTTCACCGTGTTTTCTGTGGTGGTAAAGCTGAGGGTGAGTTCCCTGATGTTTTCTCTGTAATTGATTCTGATTTAGTGAAGTGACTAAAGTGGATGTAGATTAATTTTATGATCGAACCACTATAAATCGCCGTGTTCTTCTTTCTCTCTTTTATCTCTTATTTTTACTTCGTTGTTGGCTGTCATTGTGAATTGGCTCTTCTGATATATTGGTTTATCGATTTGCTAGGTGCGATAACCTGTACTTGAAGCATTGAGTATAACCATTACATTGAATGACAAGAGTATTATATATTTTTTGTTTTGTTTAAAATTTCACAAATTTGTCTTATTTTTTTCTCTCAAATCAAATTGAACTATTTGTGTAAAATTTTCAACTTGCAGCTATATTTAAAAATTAGGGGAAAAAAAATACTTTTGGTCCTTGTGAATGAGAATTAGATTAGATATCCATCTAATCCTTGAAGTTTTAAAAGATAAATTTTTTGTCGTTGATAAATGGTTTTTGAACTTATTTAACTGTTTTTTAGTACTTTTTTTATCCGTGAATAATGTCCGAAACTCATTTAAGTAGTTGACTAACATTAATATGACGTGACGGTTAAGTTTCTGACTATATTATTTAATAAATAGGAAATATTAGAGTGTAGTGGCACCAAACCCTAGTTCACATTAAATCATTTACATCATTCTATGGCCAATTTATGTTGTATAAAATCTACATTTTCTCTTCTTTTACTTACATATCCATTATTTTTGCACTCAAAACATGAAGTCTAATTTCAAGTCATTATTGTTATTGTTGGTGGTCTGTGTTATGTTAAACTTAGAATCTCAACACTGGGTTTTTGGAGAACCTCAAGTTCCTTGTTATTTCATATTTGGCGACTCTTTGGTAGATAATGGAAATAACAATCGTCTTCCAACTACAACAAAGGCAAATTATAAGCCTTATGGTATCGACTTTCCCCATGGCACCACCGGAAGATTTTCCAATGGTCGAAACATTGCTGATTTCATTGGTCGGTGTTCTTTCCTTTACCTTTAATTCTATGATATCAGCCAACATAAGCGTAGCTCAATAATAATTAACATTTGTGAGGTTATGAATTCGAATTCTCACACCCTTACTTGTGGTACTAAAAAAAAGAAATCTATAATATTATTTTTTTTTAAGTACAACAAATGGGGCGAAAGATTTAAACTCATGATCTTCTGGACATGTGTTAATTATCGCTGAACTAAGTTCATGTTGGTTGGGATAATTTTATTCATCTCTTATAATTTCATTTCTATTTCTTGTTTGGACTCCATACATTTTCAATAATTATTTTACAACACATCCCTATCTTATCTATTAAGTTAAAAGAGTCATTGTAGAAAATGAATGGGGATGCGGAAAACCAATGTTAGGCTATGTGTAATGAAGAATTGAGAAAAAGCTAAGCAAGAAGGGAGGTGGAGAGGGAACTTGAGAGGGAGAGAATATTGAGATTTTTTTTTAAATATTACTAATTTTGAAATTTATTTATTCTAACTTCCAAATTTATTAAAAAAAAAAACAGTGCTTAAAAAATTCATTATGGTCCGACGATCTACCTACGCGACGTCAGGTCGTCTCTCCCATGTTGCATTCTTTAAAAAGAAAGGGAAAAGAAATCTTTTGTCGTCTTTTCAATATAGATGATTAACTATATATCCATATTTTCAATCGAGATGACCTAGATTTCAATACCTAACCTTTTTTGTTTTCTTTTTAGCAAATAGTATGTTATATTGCAATTTTCTTTTTCATTTTAAATAAATTTAAATGTAAATAAATGTTACTTTTAAATTTAACATTTCCCTTCTCTTCTAAAATAAAATAATTAATATTAATAAGTTATAACTTTTTTTTAAATTACGTTTAACGTACTGAGTATATTGTAACCAAATATATATACATATATACATACGTATGTATGTAATATATATAGGTATATACATATGTACGTATCTATATATATAGATGTATATATATATACCTACATACATACTTACATATATACGTACGTATGTATATATGTATGTGTGTATACGTATTGTTTGGGGAAGAGAATACCCTGAACACGTGGAGGACCCCTATTGGTGCTCCAAGATGACTCATGAGTCATGCCCAGCTCGGACCGCCGAGATCACCACCACTAGCGTTGACAGATGCTAAGTATGAGGGCCGAGGTGAACCTGGCCAAGGTCCGATCTACCGGGAAGCTCGGTGGGGGCCGATGTGAGCTACTGTCAGCGGCGTGATTATCTGGTGTAACCGTCGGTCCCGAGATTACCGGGTGTAACCGTCGGTCCCGAGATTACCGGGTGTAACCGCCGCGAGATTAGCGGGACTATCACCCATAAGTAGAGGACCTCACTCCACGATCAGGTACGATGATTCTTGGACCTCGAACTAAACTGGGAATCCGACCTATACTGACTTGATCGTCGGAGTGCTCACCTTTTTGTGCAGGTTCGCCCAAGCGTTCAGATC